TAACGAAGCTGCTGTTTTTGTTTTTGTCCTTCGGCAATTTGCGCGCCGCTGTCGCTTGTGGAGCGTCAGGAGGACCCCCCCCCCTCCCCTCCCCCTCCTCCTCCCCCTCCCCCTCCGCAGAGACGGACACGTGTTTGGCAACACGTTACAGGAGGTGAATTCAACACCACAACATGTTACAGTGAGACGGCCAAGAATACAAATGACATCGAATAGGATGACATTGAAACACACACACGCTCATGTGGAATATACACAGGATTCTATAATGGCACCAAAACAAAATGTCCATCAAACCTGAACGTCCATCAAATCCATCCAGTGAGGATTCAAATCAATCAGTTTACGAGGAAGTGGTTAAATGACCAATAAATGAAAATAACATTTCAATATCAAACCACAGCTTTCGGTTCAGAAATGACACCAGACTGCTCGCGATTGGTCCACTTTCATCAACACGCCCACCGCGGAGTGACAGCTGTTGCGTGCTCCGGGTGCCGTGAGTGTGCACGTGCCCCCCAAAGTGCTGGCACTAACCCATCGCGTGTGTGTGTGTGTGTGTGTGTGTGTGTGTGTGTGTGTGTGTGTGTGTGTGTGTGTGTGTGTGTGTGTGTGTGTGTGTGTGTGTGTGTGTGTGTGTGTGTGTGGAGGTGTGGGCACAGGCCTCACACTTCCTGTGATGTGCTCTAACACACAGATGGCAGTTGACACAACACAGACTCCCCCTCCGTCCCCCTCCTCTCCAAAGTGGACGTCTTGTCTCCGTCTACTGTGGGACTTGACAGAGATTCAAATCAACGCAAAAAATATGTCCTCGCCGCTTTCCTCCCCGCGGGTTTCCGTGCCCTTTTCCCTCGTCCCCCCCCCGTCCTGGTCCACACAGGTACCCTGCCCGGGGACAACAGCAGATATGCAAAGAAGGTCACAGTTGAATGGTTCCAAATGAACGTCCACGCGTGCAGAGAAGACGGGCGCCACCTTCGTGGTCCCCGCTTGTTGCCATAGTTACTCGATACGCGGACCTATTGGCGTTTGTAGCGAGGAGAGGCGCTTGTGATTCATCTTTCAGATCGACAGAGGAAGGAGAACATTTTAATTAATGTTAACTGATTAGATAAAAACGTATATTAATCAACACGTGTCCCATATTAATGACACGTGTAATGTCTGCAGACGCGCTAAAGCGGCACTGCGACACGCTGCTTTCAGCCAAACGCCAACGTTGGCATTGACATCGGTCGTCTCGGGTCGGAAGCCGCTCGCCACCCTCTGAAACGAAAAGACGCGGGGGACGTCCCGCGGTGGCGTGCGTGCACCTGACGGAGGGCGCAGCGTCCCCGTGGGAGGCGGGCAGGCGCGGCGCTGCAGGGATTGATGTGAAATGAATCCATTTGGCGGCGCTCCTCCACCTCGAGCGGTTTGCATCTCAAGGCTTTTAATTGCTAGGGTTGGGGACGCTGTAGCTGTTAGGCAGCCAGTCCTTGCATGGCATTCTGGGTAGTTTTAACGGCGTGATGCCCTTGCTGGATCTTTTTGTCAGCGTCGAGGCACACGGAGCCTCGGTGGTTTTGTTATCTGAGCGAGGCGCTTTTTATTTCCTCTCTGACTCCCCAGCGGTTCCCGTTCTTCAGTCTACATGCTGCAGTTTGTCTCTGAGGAAATGGATGTGTGTCAGTGTCTCAGAGACTAGCAGCCCGTCTATTGAGCTTCATCGCTGCTGTGTGTGTGTGTGTGTGTGTGTGTGTGTGTGTGTGTGTGTGTGAGAGAGGCAGGAAGGCAGAAGCGGCGCCCGTCATCCACACTGCAGGCTAGCATGTTAGCGACTTAGCTCTTCGTGGCATCGTTTTAGGACGACAGACACAGGCGACCCACGTGGGCGACCTCAGGAGGCAAACTGGGCGAGAATTATCCAAATGCTTTAAACTGCCTTTACTTCCTGTTTATCTCTTCCATAGCATCCAGCACGGGACGAACTAAATATATCTTCTCATATAAACAGAGAAAGACAGGATGACACACGTGTGTATGTACACACACACACGTGTGTCAGATGTGTGATGCCACCATGCAGATCCAAAGGAAGGTTGCATAACAGCACTCTGGTGCATCCATTCATTCGTTTGCCTGCTGGTTAATGTTTCAAAGCGAGGGGCCCGCGGGGCCCCGAGGTGCATATCACACACTTTCTCCGCTCGCCCGCCGTGACGTCAGCTCCAAGGGACACGGCCCCCCCCCGGGTTCGAGACGCGTGTTTTTGTGAAGAGGAGGGAAGCGGCTCTCAGGTGCAGCGGAGACGATCTCAGAGAGCGGAGACGGCCGATCACAAATCGTGCATTTTAGGACGGGAATCGACCGGCGATCCTTCCGGATGGAAACGAACCACTGAAGCAGAGGCAGCAAAGGGCGGCGGGTCGGCATCCCGCCGGCTACATGGCGCACAAAAAGGCCGTAAACAGACACCTCTGATCTGGTAATGAGTCTTCTAATGGGGGATTTATGTGTGAAATATGCCATTCGGGTAATAACAATCCACCTGCTGTTTATGCGCCTCACTGCAGAGGTCGGCTGTAATCCTGCATACGCGATAATCTGTTGTTGTAAATCCTGTCGGCATAAAGAAACATGGCAGGTGTGACTGTGCGTTGTGTCTATATGTTAGATTACAATGATCCTAAACTCGTCCACGCGGTGAGACATAAAAGCCTTTTAAATGAAACACTGGATTCAGGTCGAGGTGTCCGACGTCAAACAACGTCAACTACAATCTGCTCTGATGAATAACCCTGTTTTCCTGTTTAGAATCTGCCTCCTTGAAAGACGCTGCGTTGTTCCCTCTGTGTTGTAAACCCGCGGCCTCCTCCTGGTGGGTGATGAAAACGAGCCCCGTCAGGAGCGGCGGCCGATTGCTCGGCTCGGCGCCGAGGTCGGCCTTTGTGTGGAAACACTTGAGACGGAGGCGATCGATGCGCCGCTGGACAAACGGCCAAATGTTCCTTTAGCTCAGAACACGCGGTCGCCTTCGTAGCCGTGGGATCGAAATCAGCGAATGTAGCAGAGGAGCTTTATTTTGAAAATATAACACGTCAGAAAAGGTTATTATGGGTCCTAATAAAGTAAAGTGCAGTTTGTTGGGCAAAAGTCATCGTACGTTACGCATTAGATTGTCTCTCTGAAATAATTATGAGCGATTGATTGCGGCATGTAACGATGAATCGGATGAGGAACTGGACTTTGCGTCTTTGATCTTGAGATCCCGACGGCGTCTTCTCTCCGTTATCAAATCAGCCGATAGCGCCAAAACAGCGCCACCTATCGTATCGGCCGGTTTATTCACTGCCATGTTATATTGGGATACTAGCACCTCCCCCCGAAAGACCGCATAGTCCGACTAAGCAAAGATTCCAATTCTACCATCATGTACAACACACGGGCTGTATGAAGACACGCAGATGCCGTGAGGGATGTAAGGATCTGATCTCTCACAGTTTGTGGCTACTAAGCCTTGAGAGATGAGAGGTGTGAGCGGCGCCGCGGAGGGTCTCCTTCGTCCTCTACGACGGCATCCGGGGTCCTGTTTTCTTCTTCTTCCTCTCAGGCAATCGGCTCCACTCGCCTGACCCTTAAATCCATGAACCTCCTCCGACGTGGTCCGAGGGGTAATTACATCTGCCAAGGAGCCCGAGACACACGTTAGTCCTCCGCTCTCAGCTGGGCTCAGTTCCTCCACCTGATGCCGCTGTGTATGTGTGTGTGTGTGTGTGTGTGTGTGTGTGTGTGTGTGTGTGTGTGTGTCCTTGTTTAAACAGTGCTAATTGGCACTCCTGGATGCTCCGAGTCCACGTCTCGCAGGCTGTCTTCTGTGTCGCCGCTTTCTGCCTCTCGATTTAAGCCCGTCGCCTCGGCGGGTGTTACCGAGAGCATTATCAGACCCCCCGAGAGTTTATTCCCAAAGGCTAAATCACTTGTCTCCTCTCGCATTTTATCTTACAGCCCTCCTCGCTGGAAGCAGTGGGGGGGGGGGGGGGGGGGGGCGAGCAGAGCTGCTGCCTTTTAAATTCAGCCCGAATGCATCAGGAGTTTCTGCTTTAAGGGATCCGAGGGCTGAAAAAGACCCTCCTCAGGTCGTTGACCTGTGAGAAACGCACGCTGCCATCGGCTCTGTGACGAGGGGGGGGGGGGGGGGGCACGTTTCCTGCAGTTTTTTATGCAAAGCTTTTCTTTCACAACAAAGAGACGACCTTGATTAAGGAAGCTGGCTGGACGGACGCGTGTTTTAATCACACATCCGTTGGAGGCTCTTTTTGACTCCAGCTGGAAGCTTTGATCAGCGGACGGCGGATTACGCCGCTAACACGCCGCTCTAATGGAGCCGCGGGGACGAACGGCACGCACACACACACACACACACACGGGCCTAAACACGTGCTGCACGCGCACCAACTCAAGATAAAATCCAGGGCGCGTAAGCCGCGTCGGGACCTTTCCTCCATTAGTGGCGCTTCGGGTCGGCTGAGGTTGGGAGTAGAAGTCGCTGCCAGAGAGGCTCAGCGAGGAAAGGTCCAAAGGCTCGGCGCCGACACACAGCGCGGCTCTGGAGACTAATGGTTTGCAGCTCGCAACATATGTTGCTTTGTGTAATTGCTTTAATTGCTGTCATTGTACGTAATGGAGGGTCTTTTTCATCCTCCCTGGTGGTGCCGGCAGTCTGCTAATTATATCCGTCAGCCCTGCAGCCAGGACGGGCCTTTCACACAAATTCAGGGACGTGGGATTGTTTCCCGCGCTGCTGCTGCTGTAAATGACTGACTGCGCCGTGTGAGTCATTGGAATTTAGGTCATTTGAAGAGTCGTTTAACTGAATCCGGGTGAAATTGGAACCGTGACCATTTGCTTTTGCTTTTGCTTTTAACTAAAATCCGCCCGGGTTTGAAGTTGCCGTCCTGGTGCAGAAAATCTGAGAGAGCGCTTCTTTTATTTTATTTATTTTTTCCCACCTCCAGGTACGACACCATCACCAACCAGTGGGAGACGGTCTCCCCCCTCCCCAAGCCGGTCCACTCGGCGGCCGCCACGGTGTGCGGGGGGAAGGTCTACGTGTTCGGAGGAGTGAACGAGGCCGGCCGCCCGGCGGGGGTCCTGCAGTCCTACGTGCCGCAGAGCGACACCTGGAGCTTCATCGAATCCCCCATGATCGGTGAGGCGCCGTCCCCCCCTCCCCTCCCCTCCCCTCCCCACACAGCACGCGTGTCTCTTCTCATTGTGTTCGTACGGAAACGTCCGCACGAGCAACACAACAACACAACTGCTCCGCCGCCGCTCCCATTCAGATGCACGGACTCCCCTGATCCGCCGCCATTGACGTCGTGCCATCTCATCATGGGGTTTTTGGCCCTCCGTTGTGGTTGCCCGGTTGCCTAGCAACATTATCCTCCCAATTCCACCCTTTCAAATATATCTTCCATGTCAGGAAGCTCGACGCCACGAGCTCCAGCGCCCCATGTTTCCTTTGCACTCCAAGTCTGGACGTCCCACGTCGACCTTTTTAGTGGATAGTTATTTTTACAATAATAATCATTTACACCAATATGTGCCGGGTTGCAACATCAGGATTTCTCAATGAAGAGCTCAGTTAAAGTTTTGATGATCGAGTTTCAGTGGAAACGTTTGCCATGGCAACAGCATCTTCACTGTCCATCCCGGGTTGTCTGCTCCTCATCGTCTTGACTGTTTCCCATTACTCCCGTGTGTCTTCTCTATTGCTAGAAGGAGGCCGATAGGTGGGTCCTTCCGTAGCTTCAGCTCGACCTTCTCAGCACAACATGTCAGGCGAGTTGTTAATATCTTGGCCTGCACAGTGCTATTGCACCACCCGTTTAAACACAACCCACGAGGTTGTTTCTGAAATGAGACCAGCAAGTGTTCTATGAAAAGATGAAGAAGGTGCATCTTTATATTTTTTTCACTGATTAAACAAAGGAATGCAACATGCTAGTTCCTGATCTTACTTAAGTTAAGCTCGTGCTAAGCTAACTTTACATTCAATAGATAGGAAGTCACCGTTCAGAAAGGGAACAAAAGGTTAGAAGATTCCGGAAACAGAAACGAATTAATTCTCCACACAAATAAAAATACTATATTAGATGCTGGATTACGGAGCTGCCCCAAAACAAATGTTTGTCAGTCATCCGTCAGGGCGCAGACGCTGGATGACGGACAGGTTTAGCGCCTCCCGTGAAAATGGGCCGGCGTAGATTTTAGTGAGCCAGTGGGGAGCTCCTCTGGATCGACCCTCTGCCTCCCTAATCTCCCCCTCCCTCCCCCACTCCCCCATCCTGCTTCTCTCGTGATGTCTCGGCATTGTCTTATCGACTGACACATATTCGTGTGTGTGCGTGTGTGTGTGTGTGTTCCCTCTGCGTGGACCGTCTCCCGCATGAACTGCAAATGGGTTTCACCAACACTAATCAGCACTGACTTCCTCTCGCTGGCAGAGTGAAAAATAATCTTCCACGTGCCAAAAATAGCGCCTACAACAGGTGTTTGAGTCCCGGTGGCTCTGCAGCGTAACGACGCTCCTTTTGTCTTCGATACTCCACCAAAACTCCTCAAGGTTAAAGGGTCGGCTCGCCCAAACAAGCACGATGTGGAGGTTTAGACGTATTTCTACCCGACATCTCTGCTGCAGCACGATGGAGGTGAAAGGAACTTACTCACCTTTAATCTGACAGTATGTGTGCGGAGGATTTAAATTAACCTCATGTCGACTTATTGTGAGGAGAAATGTAAAGCTAATGGGTTTTTTTTGATAACTTTTTTGTGGCCTTTATTCACAGAACTTGTATTTAGTAATTATTCTCCACGTTGCTGATCTATGTGGCGTTGAACATCACACTGTAGGATACTTACACAAGCATTTCATAGGAGACAAATTAGACATTATACACTATTATTGTTGCCGTTACTTTAAAGGTTTTCATCTTATTTTGCCAAAGTGCACTTATTCATGAACGTAACATACAATGACCTTTGTGACATTCTATTATAGGACTCTGATGGCAAAACGTATGTAAACATTTCCAAAGTGAGGAAGTAATCCAGTACACATGAAAAGAGGATAATTAACAATTTCAAGAAGCAACTGAACCCTCAAATACTGTTTACCAAAGTATACTATGGCTTTTTTATAACTGTTTTATAACTGTTTGTTCTCTTTTTAAAGATACTATACATGACATTTCATTCTAAGACCATTCTGACATTCTATGAATATTTAGACTTTTTGGACATAATGACTAAAATTAGTACACCATTGCTTTTTTTCCCACATGCTATAGTACGACCTTTTATCACAGTACACATGACTTTTAAATTTAAAGGATTCACACGTTTACAGGATCGTGAGCAACCTTCAGCTTTGGCCCTCGGCTGCAGACGCGCCGGTTTGCATCCATCACAATTATTAGATTTAGATTTTGATTGAATTTATTTACGCTCGCAGCACATAAAAGGACGCTGTGTGAAAAACCCACCTCATCCCCCGTTGTCTCTGGTGGGACACCCGGCACTTCATCTTCCACAGGATGAGGAGGATGATGATGATGATGATGTCTATTTGTTGTTCTTCCTCCGCCTGTGAACGATTTCCACGTGGCTGGTTGTGATGCCGCCTGATGTTTGGGAGTCTTATCTACATCTGTACAGTTTACAGCATCGGTCTAATTCACTGGTGTGTGTGTGTGTGTTTTATCTCTCTGGTCTTCCAGTTTGAGAGAATCAGATCTCTGCTGCGTTGATGCAGCGATCAGATAATAAAGGAAGTGAGGGAACAGCGAGGTGTTTGTTTAGACGGCAGCCGCAGATTTCATCATAGCAGCTTGTGTGTGTGTGTTTTCATCTGTTTGCCGTCCTTGACCCCCCCCCCCTGCCCCCCTCCCCGGCCCGAGGGGTCCCGGACTCGGTTGACTGAGCTGTTCTGTCGGCCCGCGTTGCCCCGCGGGCGCAGCTGCACTTCCATCACCTCCGCCGTGTTTTCAAACCTCCTCTCCTCCGCCGTCCGTATGTAGAACGTGGCCGGCTGTGGATTCTTGGCAGCGTTTTCTCACATCAGAGATGTGAAGCGGGGACAAAGTCCACCGTGAGTCTCCAGGAATAGACGGATTTGTTTGTCCCGCGGTGGGGGGGGATAACCGCAGAAGCAAAGCGCCTCCTCAGTTGTCGAAACCCCCCCAAAAGCGATCCTCCTGAGGAAAGCCCAACGAGGATGAGGTGCAGTACCTCTCCAGCTACTCAAAGCCGGCCCTCACCCGGGCGGGAGGGAGGGAGGCGTGTTGGAGCCGCTGTGGGGAGGAAGGCTTCTCCTCAGAGACCAGCTTGTCTTTATTTAGAGAAACGAGCGTTCAGTGTTTACAGCAGCGAACACAAGACATCGTGTACGCGCGCTGAGGCCGGCCGGGCAGCGGCGCGTCAATGAGAGGAAGGAGGACATTGAAACACCTGCACGGAGCCGCTGGGAGAAGAACGAGCAGCCAGAGACAAGAGCGTCGAGGACGTGTGTCCCCAGAGGACGGATCGTCCCATCGGGCTCAGCTGTCCCGCGAGGGGTTTAGGGGATTGTAAAGCAAACGTTTGCATGCTAACGTGCTAAAGGCCAAAGTAGAACCCTACGGCTTAGCATTAGCATGTTAGCACGCCGGCGGTTAGTATTTACCTGAATTCCATCCATTCCATTCTTTTTTTAAAATTCCATTAATCTTTGTCCTGAATAATGAAACACTTTGTGGTCCGATCCAATATGAATTAAATATGGCTGATACATATTTTATAAATGCAACATTCATCAGCCTTCTGACGTTTAATAATAATGATTGAGCTACTTCTGGCGCGGTGGTTTAGCTGCATGAGATGAACGCGTGAAACGAGCCGGATGCTGGCGGCGATTCTTTCTGCTCCTGCGTTGTTGTGTTGGTGCTCCAGAGCATCAGGCCTCCAGAGGTCACCTGTTGATTAAACATGGCGGACTCATCTCAGCGAGGGGGGTGCGGGTGGTGAATCGTCCAGCTGCACACCGCTGGAGAGGAATCGCTCTCTGAGTTTCAGATGCACTTCCTCTCCCCGCGCGGCGCTTTCTGCAGGTTTCCAGCGGCTTAGTTCCGCGCTGCTTCATTTTGTTTTTGCCGTCGTCTGTAATTCTCCTCCTGTGCTGTGTAACGCATCGCTTTGGGTTCCACAGCGTGCAGTATCCCACCTGTTCACTCATACACATATATATATATATATATATTTTCTCTGCCATTTCTTTCCTATCTGAATGTATGGATGTCGGAGGGCGTAATGCAATTGTGAATTATTGGGACTTTGGTAACTCTTTTATATTGCTGCCAAGCCCAAACATATCGGGGAGCAGAACCCAATAAAGCCACAGTGATTTATGAACTGCGCGCCGCCACCGGGCCGCCATCCATTCTCCATACGTGTTTTCCCCAAAGCAATCTTGAGAAGGGCACATGTGTAAAGTGATAAGGAGGATGTTGATGATGATTTCTGCATGCGGGCCCGCCGCCGAGGACGGAAACCGTATAAAAGAAAAACAAATTGACGCCATCATACTAAAATGAAATGTGTGCTGAATGTGACATTCCCACAATAGCCCTCGTGTTTTCTATTCAACAACGTCCCCCCCCCCCTCTTCCCCTTCTCTCCAGATAACAAATACGCCCCTGCAGTGAGTCTAAACGGCTTAATATTCATCCTGGGTGGGGCCTACGCTCGAGCCACCACTATCTACGACCCGGACAAAGGCAACATCAAGGCCGGTCCCAACATGAACCACTCGCGGCAGTTCTGCAGGTAAGAGATTATTAAACGTGGCGGCGGCGACGCACGCGAGTCGAATCCCCGGCGTGGAATTGTAAAGATTTGTTCAAAAGCGCCAATTGTTTGCATGTTGCGTGTGAAGCTTGTGAAAGCCTCGCGTTTAAATCTGTGTGCCCTCAGTATTCAGTGCAGGTAATTGAAATACCCCAAAAACCCACGTGGCAGATAGAAACCAGCAAGAAGTTCCTACGACACTAATTGTTTGGATTGTTTTTTTTTATTGTCGCAGCGTGACGGCAATAATTAATGTTTGTGTTACAAAAACAGGAGAAGCGTGACACTGCGGCCCACTCCTGCGCCCTCGGCTGCTCGGGTTTGCCAGTGGATTTAGGCTCAACCGTTACGTTCCCGGCAGTGTTGTCACGCTGTGCACATCGGAGCGTGCAACTTGTGTAAATGCTGATCGTTTCCGATCCACAATCGCAGGACAAAGCCCGAATCGGCTTACGGGCCGAGTTCTAATCCTTTCCGCACACAAACTGCCGTTTCTGTTGCTCATATGAAACGAGGACGTATTTGCTTTTCTGTCAGTTTCTCTCTCACGCCTTCGAGAGGTCATTTAATCCACGCCTCAGGAAGTGGCAGTGTGTCGTAATACAAGCAGTGTGTCACGGGGGGCCGGAGGGCCGGCTCCTTATTAACGACGCCACGGACAGTCAGTGTCGATGATACTTCATAAAGATGTGTAATGTAGTTGCCTGCAGTTCAAAAGGTTAAAGCACATTACGTGTGACATTCAGGTAAAAAGTCACACCGCGTTAGTGAAAGTTAGTCGAGTAAAACAAAATGCCATTTCTAATATGATGCATTGAATATAAGAGCATATTGTATCCGCTGTGAGTCACAACTAACGATCCTCCTGAGGACGATCGTCTCATTAGAACTCCTCGCTTCAGTCAGTGGGAGGCGTTGGAGCTGCGAGATCATTATTCCAACTGTTAATTTGCAACAATTAAAAAATATATATTTTTAGATTTACAGCAATAACCTCTGGATAAAGGAGCCACTGGAGGTGGCGGATCAGCCCAGTGTGAGTTCAGGAAGTCAAACACGCTTTATAGCCATCTGTTCACATTGGAAGAATAAACTCGTAGTTACATCGAGTTACAACGGGTTTTGTATTCATGAGCCAGACAATTGCAAGAATTATCTCTGGTTGCCAGGCAACGACTGAAAGACACTTTGATCCCACCATGAAACAAAAGATCCGATGCGATCATCTTTGCTCCGAGTTAACAGGCGTCCGTCTTCACCCTGCGCTGAAAGCCTCTAAATGAATTACCAAAATAAAAGCTTCTTAAACAGGCAGCTAACAAAACGAACCCTGTGTCTACCTCGGCAGCGCCGTGATCCTGGACGGGAAGATCTACGCCACGGGGGGCATCGTGAGCAGCGAGGGTCCGGCCCTCGGCAACATGGAGACCTTCGACCCCGCCGCCAACACCTGGACGCTCCTGCAGTCGCTGCCCTGCCCGCTCTTCAGACACGGCTGCGTGGTCATCAAGAAGTACATCCAGAGCGGCTGAGCGGTGGGAACGCCAGCGTCCGTCCGCCCGCCCGCCCGTCCCCGAGGAGGAGGAGGAAAAGCCCCGTGCAGAATGTTCTCGTGCTCCTCCAGTACCGCGTGTGTCCTGGTGGTAGTTCATCCGCCGGCAGGCACAGGGGCCGTCTTAGGAAAGGACTCCGCCTTCGTTTCTTCCCCACATTTCTTTGCTATACTCTTACTGAAAAGCCATCAGACATTTTTGTCCGTTTGTGAGAACTACTTTTAAACCGGCGTCGGCCCTTCGTTTATCAAAGCAGCTTTCTTTGTGGTGTATAAACGTTGGATTTGTTTTGTAGGACAGGAGGAGAGGTGAAGGACTCCAGCCAGTGTGTTCCTCTCCATCAGCGCATGTGAGGAGCTCCTCTCTCTCTCTCCACTGGGTCAGGAGGCAGAATTCTGGATTCATGATCTGATTTTAAAACCAGATTATGAACTCTGTGTCACCCGACCGGCGAAAACAGGGGAAAATGAATCAAATCTGGGTTAGCGAGGCTTTACTTTCTCCCCTGGAGTCCCACTCGTGTTCTCTGGGACGAGGAGGACTACATTTGGAGAGAGAGGGAGGATTCCTCTGATCGGATGTTCGTCTGGGGGAAAAAAGCACAATAATCACCTGTAACTGTTCACACGGTCGTCTCTCCTTTGTATCAGTTTCCACGTTTTTTGTTTCATTACAACCCTCAAATGCTTTGGGGTTGGTATTCTGTAAATACAGGAAGGAGAAATGTATATTTTAAAATCCTGAAGGCAATTCTGTATAGATGTTTTTAGATAAAAAAAACAAAACCTGATAGGTTGGACTCAAAATGGTGTTTCTGTAAATCTGTACCCAAAAAGGAGAAATGAGTGCTTATTATTGAAACCTAATACATATACCAGAACATGAACACATTGTCTTGTCTTATTGGTATAATTTCCTTCTTTTCTTTCGTGTTGTGCAAGAAATAACCAACACTTGTGAAATACAGTTGCACCTTTTTATTCAAGTATCACAGCAGTTTATTTGCGAAATACAGTAAATGTTTCATTTCATATATAACTTACACTAAAATAACAATCGCAAACAGGTGTTTAATTCACAAACCGACAGAGAGGGAAACGTCTCGACTAAAGAACTGAAAAAAAATGGGTCAGAACCGAGAGGATAGAACAAACCCTTCCGTCTGCACACTGGACTAAGTCGTCTCAACTACCAGACAAAAATTGGTTGTTAGTCCAAGCTGGCTACAATTTATAATAAGAAAGGAAGATCGCAATGTATGACATTTAACTACCCATATTTTAATTCCTTACAAATAACTCTGGGCAGAAAGTAGAGAACACGTTGGTGGGAGGTGGTGAGTCGCTCCCAGTATGCCACAATGAAATAAATAGAAGCGTTGAAAGGGCGCGTTGAACCTGAGAGACCTGTAAACCCTTTAATTCCCCCGCACGCGCCAAACAAACCCGCTACACAAACGCTACGCAGCTCGGCCAAAAATTGTTATAAACACCCGCCGATCAGTTAAAGTTCCAAACGTACAAAAAGAATGAATGACTTGAATATCAGGGTTTAAAAAAGAAAAAAAGTTTAATAAATAATCTGAATCATGAGATGAAAATCTGCACACAAAAAAAGAAAAAGGTGAATTAGAAATAAAGGCGACGGATGTAAAGAGGCAGAACGCTTTGAAAACGAAGGGGGGGGGGGTATAAAATCACAGATGCACCCTCCTGAATTAAAAAATGCAGTCTATAAAGTTTTCTTAAAACGTATGCAGACATAACAATGGGAGAGTTGGATTACTGCAGCCGGTCTGGAGGTGTTCCAGCGGGAGAACAAGTACCCAGGAAACAGTTTTCGGGTTAAAATAACTTAAGCTGAGGTAGCGTTGGTTTTTCTCTCTGCAGTAGTCCAAGTGCTAACCCGTCAATGCCAGTTTGCATTATTTTGTCCCCAAGAGGCGGAGGAGAAGGCGGAGGTGAGCCGGGGTCGGAGTCGCACCGACGCGTTGAGGGTCGGGGGTGGGGAGTGAAACAAAGGGGCGGGGCTTCTCATCGCTGCATTTATCGGGGTCAGAAAACGTCCGGCGTCGAGGAAAAGGAGGAAATAAAGCCATAAACACGCATTATAGAAATAGAAACTAAAGAGATGAATCAGACGGCGCCGAAACCGGCCTTTGTTCATTAGATTCACAACCCAGCAGAGCGCTTTATAAAAAGTTAAACCTGTAAATAGAATGATCAAATACACAAGTTCCCACCGTGACGTCAGCACCTTTGTTGAGGGGGGGGGGGGAAACACTTGGCAAGTCGTTCCGCTCTCGCATCATAAATACTAGGATTATTTTTGCATATGGAGGCGCTCTGCTCACGCCGGCTGTCGGCTCGGGTGGAGAACGACCTCCCCCGGGCCGCGGATACGTGGAAATATCCAAAAAACACATTTCTAGTGATTCAGACGCACCTGGCCGGACACGCGTAAGTCAATCGGTTTGGGGGGGCGGGGGGGGGGTTGGCCCAGGTTGGAGTTGTTTTTAAAACGACCCGACGCCGTTCATGGACCTCAAGGTCACCGCGACCTCAGTGGACCCGACCATCAGCTTTAATTAAGGCACACGCTAGGCAGTGCAAGCGCTCGGCGCGTCTCCAATTCGTCCAGTTCCTCAGCCGGGTGGGGGTGGGGGGGGGGGGATAAACTGGGGGGGGTTTAAGGAATGACGGCTAAAGCGGCCATGAGAAAGCGGCTAATGAATCGCTGCTGGGGGGAAGAGACTGGAACATGGCTCAGTTTAAATTATCCAAGATATAAAACCGCCGAACGCGCGGCGCCCCTTAATGGGGGGTATCACCCGAGGGGGGGGGGGGGGGGGGGCGCATTCACACCAATTCTGCTGGTGAGTGTGTGCATTTCTGGGTGTACGTTTGTATAAAATGACCCAAGTGTGTGTGTGTGTGTGTGTGTGTGTGCAGCCAGATTTGACATTGATCTGTTGGTTTTGCATGTCATCCAAGTTAAGTCAGTAGTCCCAAGAGCAGCGTGGATGAGAGGTCGGATAGCACCCGAGTAGCACCAGGGTCGCCCGTCACCGTTGTGTGTCTGCGCGCGTGTGTGTGTGTGTGAGAGAGAACGACACACCTCCGGGAGTTTGGTTGTGCAGAATGGGTCTGGATCTGGCCAGGTTCCTGAGACGATAGCACCATTTAATGTCTCCGTCCTCAACGTCGTCCTCGTTGTGTCGCCTCTCAGCGAGAAAAGGGCGCTGGATTTCCTGCGTGTGTGTCTCTCGAGGCGAGTGCTGGACTTAGAAGCTCCTTTGTGGTCCCAGGCTCTTCAGGATCTACCTGATTCTCTCCGTCTCACAGGAATGCATCAAAATGCTGGATTCTCGCCTCCATCTCCTGCATCACAAGAGAGAAACACACACACACACATATTGCTTATTCTCAAACAACACTGCAAACTCAGTATGTGCGCGCAAAGCATCTGTGCAGCGTGGTTTCAATATTACTTGAAAATCTCCCACAACAAACAACAGCTTTCAGCGTGATAAATGATGTAAAATGAAGCAAAGCTGTGCTGGAATGAGACAGGCCATTTCTCTCAGCGTGGAAGCAGCGGAGTTTGACTCAATCCCGACGCAGCCGGAGGAAGAGCGATGGATGTTGGCCCGCGATAGACCGTGATTAATGCCTTCAAGACGCCGATCGGCTGAGTCGGCGCGACAAGACGCCGCCGCGGCACGCCGCCTAAAGTTACAAACTTCAGGGCGAGAGGCGGTTTCACTCTGTAAAGAGAGGTCAGTCATCCCGTAGGAACACGCCAACATTGGTAGTAAGTGGCTTTAGTTTATTCATAAATTGTCATTTTAAATGGATTATATTTTTCCCAGAATTCCGTGACAGGTGCGTCTGCGCGTCTCACTGCACACCGACGCCCCGCAAATGAGCTCTCGTTGCCTCGGCGACGTCAACACGTGTGATCTCGAATCAGCCCGTGACCTCTTCATCCCCAAATAAGACCAGCTGAGAATCCAACACGTCTGTGCAGCACTCTCCTCCGTCCCTCCCTCACCCCCGCTCTGTCTCTCACGGCAGTCAAACTCCAAATGTAGACTTGTGAGTTTAATCTTCATGGTTGTACATTAAGAGAAAGTCCATCTTCACAGTCGTCCCTCCGTCCGTCCATGGAGGAAGTCGTCTCTCTGCCTCATGGTTTCGTCTTCTAACGACCACAAAATCTCAAAAGAAGCCCGATGTTAAGCATCAATGATAAAAGACTACGCGTTCTCCACGTAGCAAGTTGTTTTATCTACATTTTACCGCCTGCCTGCTTTGACAATAAGCAAAATGTTTTCTGCTCAGCGCGCATTCGGGTTCAAAAAGGTCAAAGGCTTCAACAAAGGTCTTAAACTGGCGTCTGAGGCCCGGACAAACTGTAATTTGTAGAAGGGAACATAGCCGGCGTGTTGTGGCGTACGGGCCTGAGACGCTCCCCTCTGGCTTCAGCTGGAAGCCGGGCGCAGTTCACTCCATCTGCTGAAAGGTCATCTCCTGTGGAGAGACGAGCCGGACCCACAGGAGGACGTAGCGGAGACAAACGTATGGACAGGCTCCGTTGCACTCGCCTGTGCGATGTAAACACAATCACCCCGCGCGCAGCACTAAGTGGGAGCCGGCGGACTGAGCATCAGCCGGGCGTCGGGGAGCGTGTGTGCGTGTGCGTGTGTGTGTGTGTGTGTGCGCTCCCCCTCCTCCCCCACCGCATTCCCTCAAGGAGCAACAAGGAGACGACCCGCGTCGAGATGCATGCTGGTAACGCAGGCAAACAAAACACGTGCCAAGCGAGCTGACATTTGCGCTCTGGAAACACCAATTTGGGCTGGCGGTGTGAGGAGAAACCAGACATGCGCCCCCCCCCCCCCCCCTCCTCCTCCACCAGCCGGCCTGTCGACAGCCGGCACCACCTGGCTGTCTGCTGTCTCTCCCGGACAGCCTGACAGCCGGCCCTGGCTGCCGGCACGGGGGCAGCGCCCGGCCCGCTGTCTGCGCTGACATCCGACAGCAGCAGATGACCAGATGGGATTCTGGGAAAATATACAGCAGCGCTTTCTGTGTAACAATTGAGAACACGGTATCCGATTTTTGGAGTCGCATTATGGGACCAGAGAAAAGAGGCCGAGGCGGGATCATCGGTTCGGGGGGGGGGGGGGATCAAGCGTGTGCCCCAGTGCATCCTGGTACATGTAGGTAAAGCAGGAAGCGCGTCGCTCACCTCCAGCAGCCGGGTCTTGTCGTACTCTCGGCGGTGTTTGTAGACGCACTGGCTGAGGAGGCAGTACAGCCTCTCCAGCTGCTCCACGCTGAAGCCCTCGCTCTTCGTCACCGCCGCGTCCAGCAGAGCCTGAGGAGACAAGACGCACAAATGCACCGTGAGCAGGGACGCACAAACTACGGCCGATGTCAACGTTTCAAAAACCGGTCGCTTTCCGGAGACGGAGGATTTGGAGGTCAGCTCCATTCAGAAGCAATTACGATCGGAGTGACAGCTAATTTAGGCCAATCATAATTAGACCCAAGTTTACATTTCGCCGCTACTTTAATTAAAACATTCTGGACAGTCAAAGGCCCTTTTAATTGACCTGTTCCTCACATTCTAGTCCAGCCAAAGTCTGTGTGTGTGTGTGCGTATAGAAGTGTCTATTCAAACGCGGCGCTCATCAGAATGCATGGGCTGGGACAGCGAAAGGCAAAATAATTAAAGTTACCTTCACTGACACGAAGCAAATAGAGGAACCCAGACGGAAAGGAACGGTGTGTGTGTGTGTGTGTGTGTGTGTGTGTGTGTGAGTGAGACCCGGTGACTGGGTTTCTCGCGCGCACTCAAAACGCAGGCAACGCCACGAGGAATAAAAAGGCGGCTGTTTGTCGCAGCTCCTCCTCATCAGCGGAACGTTCCGGGCGTAATCACAGCGAGCAGAAAGGTTGGCTTTGTATTAATCAGCGCGCTCCGTCTGACTGCTGCTTCTGTTCAAGCGACGGAGCAGATGTCTTGATTAAAGAAAACGTCAACAAACACTTGAGCAGAAACTTAAATCGCGAACCGCAAGTTTGACCTCGAGTGCTTGACTTTGTTTTTTTTTTTTAAAAGCACAAACCTGATTTCTTAAAATATAAAAGCGCAAAGGGATGACAACTGATTTCACGCTGAGCACCGCGATGCAAAAGGGAGAAACGGCCGCGGTTCAGGCGCTCGAGGGCTTTGTGCCGCCACGTCGTTTATACATAAATGCTTCTACTACGGTAGACTTGGAACAAGACATTACCGGGTAAATAATCAGTAGGAACCTTTCAAGTCCGTCTCGTGGTGCGTTAGCTGAAGCACATTGTTACTCGCTGCAGGCGCTTATCACGCTGAACTCAACAGCCTGTAAACTCCGCTTTGTAATTGAGCGGATAAAACCCCTCAAATAAATCTTCACTTCCAGAACTTAATCTGGCAAGGCGGGAGGATTCCCCGCTAATACGCCTTTGACATGAAAACCTTCACCTGGCCTCCAATAACCGGCGGCCCCTCGACAAATAAAAGTGTGCGTGCAGAAGCAGCAGAACGCCGAGTGTTTCTTTAATATTCGCAATTCGTCCACGGTGATGAGAATCGTCGCGGCTGTGGGTTTGTTGGATTAGTTCTTATAATGCTGCTACATGACGGCAGCTCGCAGGTTTCCACCCAGCCACCGGAGTGAAAGAGGACATCGATGTCCTCTTTCAACAACACGGCCCGTGAAAGCTTTAATTAGCGTCATTACAGCCCGTCTCACATAACAATGGAATGGTAATAATGTGGAGGACGCTTCTGACCTTCCTTTCATCCGAGCGCCACTGCCTTTCAGTCTTTTTTTTTCATTACCTTCCATCTCTTCCTTTTAGAGCGTTTCACCGTTTAATGGCGCGTTGTTTCACTTCCTGCCCGTTTCAATGCTTTATGGAGGCCCTCCTCTTCCTCAAACTACACTCTTCCTCCTCTCCAGTTCTCCTCTTCTTCTTGTTTGCTGGCTTATTGCTCCGCTTTGTCGCCTCGGTTTCTTTTCTTCTTTACCGTCAGCTGGCTGATTGCAGCCGTGTTTCTTCGCCGGCGCCAGTCAGCCTGATCAGGACGTGTGTGTGTGTGTGTGTGTGTGTGTGTTTCACTGATTGAGTGAGCTCACCGGACACAAAAGGGCAGTAATCCCATGTGTTAAAGACTGCTCCTGACATGGACCATTTAACCTGCCGCCCCCCATCTCTAAACACCCTGTTCCATCTTAGCACCTCTTTACTCACATCTCTATCCAGATGTTTCCAAAGAACACAAGTGAAGCTGAGGCGGCTCGGGAACAGAGCGGAATAATAATATTACATCACTAGACTAGACCTTCTGGATGTAGATGAACTTCCAGTCCACAACGTCCCTCAGACTGACGTCCTAAAGGACAGGTTAAGACCCCCGCTGGGTCACGCCTCCTGCATTCTACGCACTCGTGCATGACCAGTGGAATCTCAGCCATACGTTTTCCATCGGTACGGTGATGTGTGTCCATCCTCAGTAGTGAGTGAGATAAAAACGTGTAATCAGGCAATGAGAAGAAATAAGGGGGATTTGAAGCCCAGCAGGCGTCGCCACCAGGGATCCTATTAAGCCTCCCGAATCGGCCTCCACCAGAACAATTCACTCTCCTCCACCTTTTTCTTCCAGCAAAAGACTGAATTATGAATGAGTGAGCTCTGCTCGTTGCCATGAATGCCTTTAATCCGGGGGCGGCGGCGTGCGTGCGGCACAGAGGGGCAAGATTCCGGTTGCGGTGGCAAACGACGTGGCTCAGCCGGCGCGCCCGGTCACAGAGGTAATGCAATATAGATGGTGTCATGGGGGTCAGGGGCGATCATGACAAATCACATTACCGCGCTCTCAGCACATTAAAATGAAATGCTCCTCCCTCGTGGCCGGCCGCGTAAAGAACCCTGCCGGGGTTGACAACTCATCCTTAATGGGCGGCTTCACTCGGAACATTAAATCATTGACAGATTCCCAGCTATCTGATGGCTGCGCCGCCTCTTTCTTTCCCCCAGTAAAGAGGAGAAAGGAGGCCGCAGGTCCTTTGTGCACCGTCCACATTATGTGATTTAAAGCATTAATACAGCGATGCTGCTTAGGGAAGGTATTAAAAGATGACTTTTTTTAATGACATTCACGTTGAGGAAAGAGTAAATTTACCAGGAACGGCACACGTGGGACGCAGCCTCTAAAAAATGCATCAAATAGAGAGATATAAACCTTAAAACAGGACCAGGCATAACAAAGTCACTGCTTTAATAAGCGGCTCATCTCAACACTTCTCGAATTTCTCCCCAACTGGACCAGGAAGTAAAGCTAGAAATGGATCTTTTAACTGTAAAATATGCGGCTGGCTTCATGTAGTAGCTGCATACTAAAGGGTCCCGTGTTGAGATTGTTTGTTTATATTATATGAACATCTTTATCGATTCTTCCAAATATCGACGTCGGCCTCAGCTCAAGACGAATGTATTAAGATGAATCTCAACTTTTTAAAGCAGCGCCTTCAGCGAGTGACACTTTCCCCTGAAAGGTTAAAGGCGAAAGCTTGTTACAGGCGTAGCCAAATATTAGAGAGTAAAAGGAAAGTATTTGCCACCCGAGGTCAAAGTGGGAATAATGAGAAATGTAATGAGGATGACCCTTTTCAGTGGTTTGGGCAGAAATCATAAATAATAAAGATTCTATTCAATAAAAAGAGAGATATGCATGAGAGAAATACGATGCTTGGTAAGCAGGCTTCAGGAAGGAATATCATTTCATCTATCAAACCGCTCCAACAGATCCAATATCACCAGGTAATAAAAAAGAAGAAATTGCTGCTGAAAAATGTATTTACAAAAGAAATGCAGCGATGGCAAAAGCAAAGAATAACAGGGAAACAGTTAGGCTTAAAGTTATGGAAAGGACTAGTTTATCGACCGGCTACGGTTATACCAATGGCAAACCCCCGGGGAAATAAAGGGGAATCCATGTAATCTCCTTTGCGTGAGCAGCGCCGTGCGTGCGCGTGGGAGGGAAGCATGTTGAAACAGCACACGCACCGAGCCGTTTACGCATCACGACAATATGTTCTCAGAGAACACAAACCGGACAGAAGCACTGAACCCAGCGGCCCCCACGAGCGGCGAGGAGGACGTGGCTCTTTAAAGATTACAGCCGAGCGGTTTACATCCTAAGCCTGTTAACCGGAGCCTCCTTTCGTACTTATTACCAGGTGGCGGTTTAGTTGGTAATGGAAAGCAAACGTTAAGAGTAATGTCTGCTGGATAAGAGCTGCGATACTTAAATCGCCGTCCTAGGCTCAACGGCGTAACGACCTCCTAATAGTGTAGTGTTCTTTTCCCTCCATCACCCCTCAGGGTCGTTTCCTTCCTTCCTTCGGCGTGAGGAAAAGCAATCGGAGGACACCAGGAAAACGCCGGCGTCGTCCATGTGGTTGCGCCCCTCGGAGCCACGGCTGCAATTACACGCAGATCGCCACATTGTGGAAGCCATCAGTGGGAATGAATGGAAATAAAAGAACCACTTGAAACGCCATCTAGTTTTATTGACAATCAAACGCCGGTCCGGCGCCGCTGTTGAACTGTTCTCTGCTCGACAGACAGCCGGATGTGACCGGCCTCCTCGCCCTGCTGTTACTACTTTATTCGTCTTTAAATGAAGGAACCGTCTTGGTGATGTGCCGTGACAGCTGCGCATTGAAGGCACAGGACGGCGTGCCAGCGAAGGAGAAGCGCCAGCTCCTTCTCGGCTGCTGCTGAAGGACACGGCGGAGGAGGACGTGAGCCGCGTCTTCTCGCTGAGGAGAAATCGCCCGGGCCAGCTTGGATTTCTCGTTACTGAATTCTAATTTGCAATCACCAGCACTTCTTCTTCCAGTCCCATCTGTGGACGAGTGTCTGGTTATTGATGAAAGAAAGCAGCCGACAATAAGAGACGTTTTTGGAGTCGGAAGGAAGCCTCGGGACCTTTTGAGTCACGCCGAGGAACTCATTTAGACCCAGACTGCGTCGCTTTACTGGAGCTGGCAAGAACAGAACTTGATTCCTGCAAATTAATCAGAGCAAATAAGTGGGCCGCGGCGCTGAGAGGCGGGAATGCGGATACTGAAATAATACTTCTAATAATGATGATAATCTCGATACTGTAGGCTTCGAGTGGAGCGTCTGTGAACCAACTCATAACACACTGGTGCCGCTCAATTCCAGAGAGCCCACTTCCATCAAGTAAAAAGTCAGGAATAATCAGCACTCTGCAATCAATGAATGCAACTGGCGGAAGGCAGAAGGGACGGTGCTACGCTCACCGCGGGGCCCCGACACGCAGCGGGCAGCCAGCCAGTCCCAAGCCTGCCAATATCTGCTCAAATGATGACTTTCATCCCGCGGAGCAGATATTCAATTTGTCGCGTAAGCCGGGGATGAAAAAGCAATTATTCACGACCCCCCTCTTTCCACGATCTGTTTCGTTAAGATATCCGCCCCTACTTCCCCCCCGCCCCCCGCCAACAAACAAACCTGCAGATTAGGGCTGCGTGTGTGTTCGCTGGGGCAGCCGGTTGAAGCGGCGGAGATCAGGCAAACTAAAAAGCCCGTCACTCACTTTGAAAGACGCACGCCGCCCGCCATCCTCTCCTTCGGGACACGCGGGTAAAAGCCTCCAGATAATGGCTCGGTAGCCGGACGTCACTTTGGAGCGCTGAAGTAAGCACGTGTCAGAAGAACACTTCTTTTACATGAACTACACTACACAGGGGGGGCCGGCGGGGGGAAGAGGGGGCCGCGAGAGGACCTGTCAGCTGACCCACTGAGCCGAGCTCCCAATTTACACTTGGGGTATTAGGTGGGACCCAAAGTAACCCGGCGCAGAGCTGCTTGGCGCGCTGTCGGATACTTGGACACAGCCGGGACGAGTTGGCGGACGCAGCGAGGCGCGAGAGAAGCTCATGTTTGAGTCATGGCCTTGTTTCCCTTCAAACGTCGCAGGGACGTCACCTGGTGATTGAGAGAGAGGTGGAGCGCCGGCGTAATTGGCTCCCTCCGCGGCCAGATAGCGGGGATGCAGAGTGGATGTTTGAGAGATGAAAGGGGGCGAGGGGGGGGGGGGGGTGTTATCCATGGGAGAGGGGCAGTGTGACAGCTTCACACAGCAGACCTTTGGATCGGAAGGAGCTTAAGGCCGGTCATCCGTGATTGACTCCCCCTCCCCTCGTTCTCCACACATCAAGTCTCTTTCCCCGACCCAACTTTCTCTGTTTTGGGGGCTACAGAAAGCGAGGAGGACAAAAGGGATGAATTAAGTGCAGAGGGTTCTGAGCGGCGTGTGACAGGCCGCGCCGGGAGACAACGCCGTGACGGGTAGAGAGCTCTGCTGGCCCCCTGCCGATAAGCCGGACGGTTGACCTTGAAAGGGGAGAGGGTCTTCATTCGCCGCGGCCGCCATAGGAGGCGCCGAGTGGGTGTTGGAATACAGCTGTTCCTTTAAACAGCGGGGAGGGAAAAACACTCCAGAACCCCTCACCCATAAGACATAAGCACCCATGTGGACCTAAATGAGACGAGCATATTGGTATCATTTTTAGATTATAGCCCGTCTTTTCCATAATCACCGTCTAATTATTCATTTGCAAAAATGTGACGGTTTTCCGCAGCTGGCTCTGTTAAAACCAGTAGGTCCATATTTCAACATCCCATTAACTGGTGGAATGTGTGTTTATTTTTTGCTGAAAAACATCTACTTTCTCTTTTCAGCCTGAGGTTTGCATATAATAAATCAAAAGAAGTGCATGTATGAACTGCGCTGTAACTTCTGCGGTTTCTTTCTCTTGGATGTTCTGCTTCTTTTGTACTCGCGCTGCTCTGTTCTGTTCTTCTAGGTCATAAAACGCCAACGCGGATTCCTCGCTGCTGAAATAAGTGAGCGCGCGGTGTGATCGCGGTCACAGCAAATGACCACGGACATGTTCCCTCCCTTAAGAATGTTCATTTTCCCATCGCCACATCATTGCTTTGATACAGATCACAGGAGCAGTCAAATCCCCAAATCCACAGTCGGTGCACAACGGCAAATCGGCCCAGCTGTCGCTTCCTTCATGGTCCAAATTAAAATGATGAGCGTGTGGAATCGAGCGTGATGGACCCGCACCGGGGTTCTAAAGACGAGAGCTCAGATCTCGACCGGTCGCAAGAGGTGCGTTAATGTTTTAGCGCTAAAGTGGCCACGAGGGTTTATTTAAACTGTCTGTGAACATGGTCCCCTGGTGCTCGTGTCATTTTAATAAAAAATATAAAACGGAACAAGTCATGCAGATGCTGCACAAGAACGGGGCTTGTGACACATGGAATGTGTGGAACATCGAATGAACTTAAAAGGCACTTATACTCACAAAACTCCTAAATTACAACGGAATAATATCAGAAAAATGGTCTCAAGGACCCACACATTGAAATGCTGCTTTTTGTTTATTTACAAAGCAATAAATCCTGATTGAATGAACAAATCAGATGTCTCCATTCTACTGTCCCAGACAGGACCCTGAACCTGGAGCGGCTGAATTCAATGAGCTCCTGCAAACCACTTGAGCCTTCAGGCCCGACAAACTTCCCGTACGGAGGCACGGTGGATGTATTTACCGAGAGCCGCTGGTGGTCCACCACTACGGGGGGCTGGGGAGGGACTGCTGGCGGCTCTTCCTCCGTCTTTTCGGCGGATCCCTTGGACTGCTCCGACGGATCGCCCCCGCCGGTCTCGGGGGTGGCCCCTGCTGTAGGAAGACAAATGGATTATTGATGAAAGAAGGGTTCATAATGAGGGTTCTAAAGGGTCGATGCAAAATAACTTATCTCGGTGTTCGCTGAGAACCGGTCCGAGGCGCAAACTTGATTCCAAAGAAAATCATTTCCAACTGCGAGATGAATGCAATACTTTCTAAATCTATTTCAAGCTCCTCGCAGCTACCGAGGGCGCAGTGTTTCCCATCTGGACTCCTTCACGGCGGTGCTGAAGAAACTAAAGTGTGTGGCTCGGCTTGTAATGGGGAGGTGAGGAGGGGGGGGGGGCTCTGTCCGGCGTCTGAGGAGTTTTGTTTGTGTTCTGTTGGACAATTATGCCATCTGTGACTGATGGAACCTACTGTAGGGTGCGTGATGGCTCGGGGAAAATTATCTTCATTTAAAAATAAATTCAGGCTACACGTGAAAAGGTGACGTGCGTCTACAAAGGCGCATCAGTTGAAGCCCCTGGAATTTCTCCATTGAAATATACCATCTGCTAAGCCAGGGGATAGAGCTCATATTACTTATGTTGCATTATTCATGTCTGCTCTCCGTTTTAAGAGGTATACATCAAGTGCCAGTTCATGATCAAAAAAGTTATTAATCTTTGTAATTAAGTGGTGGGCAAATTACTGCCTGGATGTGTAAAAACCGCCTAGATACTGTTGCTTAATTGGATATCTACTGATTAGCAACTAAAATGAGGAGACCAAAACTATCTGAGAACGTGGACGTAATATCTGCCTGCAGAGAATATTAAAGTTAACTTTTGAAGAGAAAAGAAAATTGTGTATTCATAAATTTGTGTGTGTGTCTAGTCCAAGCTGTTATTTGAATTCATGCTGGCGATATTCTAAACACACAAAAACATACTTGAGATAAAGGTTATTTGAATTAGCCAGCTGTGGTGCTCACGCTAGCTTCATACCTTCTAGATCCAGATGTTGCTCGGCGCTCCCGTCCTGGTGTGGCTGCTCCTGCGTCGCTGCGCTCTCTTTTTTGTCTTCGTGCTCCTCCCGTCCCGCCCCGTTAGAGCGCGCCGGCCTCTGCTCGACCTCGCCGCTCCCCTCCATGCTCCGCGAGTCCACGCTGTCCATCGACTCGTTTCCGTTCACGCAGTCCGCCTGCGGTAGCGAGACAGCCTCCGTGCGCTGGGGCCGGACCTCTGCACTCGAGCATCGGGACGCGTCGATGGAAGGTCCGGAGTCGGCCTGCTCGACCGGGCCGCCCCCGTCTGCCTCGGGCTCGCAGCTGCCGCCGAGGCAATGCGGCTCAGTGCGTTTCTCCGTGCTTTCAGGCTCCGCCTCTTGGGCCGTGGGCCCCTCCTCCTTAGGCGTGGGCTCCTCCTCCTTAGGCGCGGGCTTCTTTCTGGGCTTCGCCGGCGTCCGGGGGTTCGGCGGGAGCCGCGACGGGGGGCTCGTTGGAGCTCTCCTCCTCCGTGGAGGGGCCGTGGGGGAGGTGGCCATTGGGCTGGGGGCCCACGGTATCACAAGACGATTCCTCATCCTGCGTAAGGCACGAGTCACTCGGCCCCGCCACCTCCACCTCAGGTTCCCCCTCTTCCTCCTCCTCTTCCTCCTCCTCCGTCTCCTTCCTGTAGATCCTCTTCTTACGGATGATGCCCCGCCCCCAGGACGGCCGCCGGCGAATCTTGCGCTTTACATGATCTAAAAGAGAGAGAGGAACCCTATTAAACAACCAAAAACCCTCTTAATGACCGAGGAGCAACAGACTTCCTGACTACAGACCTGATGGTGAAACACTCCCCCCCTCTTAACAATTACACAGATAAATCTAGCTGCTGGATGGTGTTTGGTCAACTGTCAGTAATAATGTCTTTAATTCCTCGACACTGAATGTTCATCCGCATATTATAGGGGTTTTTTTCTTGAATTGTACCAAAGTGGAGTCAAATAATCAAAGATTGCTTTAATTTAAGAAATAAAGTAAAATCATTTTTCCGGATGGCTCGGCTCGTGTCATCGTCCCACAGCGGGGAGCCTCGATGCTTCGGCAGCGTTCATTAGCGCGGATTTCAGTCATAAATAGTTTGATGGGCGGCCTCTATGAAGGCTGACACTGAAATAAAACGTTTTCGATGTTCATTCGCCTGATTTCTCGCTATCAAATTTGCCCTGAGAGCGAAACAGCTGGATGCACACACACACACACACACACACACACACACACACCCCTTTGGCGGACAGGAGATCAACATCTGTCGGGCTTTATTCTTTTTATTTGCGCATCGTATCACTGCGGTTTGTAATTATCTTTTTTTAAATTACTTTTTTATTGCAGATGTTTGTCAGTCGTGTCTAAAGAACAGAGAGACAAGCCCCCCCCCCCCACACACACACACACACACACACACACACACACACACACACCCACCCTGCTGAGCGGCTCCGAGAAGCACTATTAAATAGCCCCCGCTCCCACATGCTCCTCGATCAATGATCTGGCCCAAAAAATCCTGATCGAAGCACTTTAAGTGGGCAGGCGGTCGTTTGTGTGCTTTATTAAACTGATCAGACCTCAAGTGAAAAATGAGTCAATCAAAAATGAGATTGTGACCTTAACTTCTAAAGACAACTAGTCGTGCAAATGGAGAACGGTGACAACCCTTAAAGCACAAAAACACATCCTTCCAATGCAGAAGCACCGCAGAAGACAAAAAACATCCATTTCCTCGTGTAGCGTCTCGGCGCAGCTTGCAATCTGATTGTTGAATCCAGACGTTTGGCCTTTGCTCACGGAGTGAGAAGGCGACGGGTGAGAGAGGCTCCATCATGGATGCTGGACACTAATGGCAACAGATGGTGCTCGGGGCTGTAAGAAGACGGGGATAACGAAACAAAGTGCAGTAAAAGTGCCACAGCAAGCCGGCATGAATGTCAGCATCATATCAATAAGGCCTCTTAGTGCGTTTGACATCCTTTCTCATTTCTGACTCCATAAATGTGTTAAAACCAGCGTACCTCTCTGGGTACGCACGCCCCTCCTCTGCACAAACACACGGTAGCACAGGGGTGGGGGTGGGTGGGGGAGGTCGAGACGGGGTCACCTATCACCGTGACGGCCACGGGGGAGGAAAAGGTGAACCACTCCTCGTAACCGCCTCTTAAATAATGCATGCAAGCGGCGTGAACGGCAACCACGGAGGGGGAGGCGGGAGGGTGGAGGGGGGGGGGCACCAGAGCACTTTGTAATAATTAAAAGCGCCTAGAACAAGAAAGATTCAAGAAGCCATGGATAGCGAACACCACACACACAACACCACACATACTTTCACAACAGTGCGTGAGTGTGTGTTTGTGTGCAGAAAGCCAAACTGAGAGCAATAATCGAATAAATCCGTCCAGCGACACTGACGGACGCCTTTGGGTTGAATCATTATTAAATAAAGGGCAGCGGTCCGTAGAACGCGTAGCATAAACTTAGAATACAAAACTGATTTTATAGAATATTTACGCCGTGTTAAATGCTGAGGCTTTTCCTTCCACAGCTACACACGAGCCGTCTCTATGGCAACACTGCAGACAACGTGCACGCACAGTTCATAGTGGGGTCAACAGCATCATGACAGATGGCTACTTGTTACTTGCATGTGCTCACAACACCACAAAAGGCACGCAGGTTCCTCTCAGATTGATCGGTTCGAACGAGGGTTTCTCGGTTTGGGACCCGCAAACTTCCTGGAGTCTCAGCTCGTTGCCAGGCAACTGGCCCAAAATGTCAAATACACGAGCTCCAGAGAACGCAGCGCAAAAACGTGATCTAAAAAAAGGAACGCGTCCAACTTCCAAACCCTGCAGACACGCTGCACATCACCTCACTTCGCTCTGTACTCGCATTTAAACACACACACACACACACACTGACCATTTACAAATTGCAAATCTCATCTCAGTCCAGACTCCATTTCCTCCGTGGCGGCCCGCACATTGTAAAAAAATAAATGGATAAGGCCTCTACATTCAGTGCATTGTTAAAGACGCATGTCTGAAATGCTGCAGATGTGGTTTTATCCCTCAACGACAGGAGGAATCCGACTGAAACGATGGCTGAGCGCGAGAGCTGCGATCAGGACACGAGCAGTAATTAGGCGACTGGCGAGCCCTTATGTGAACAACGTGAACACATTGCGCTCAAAATGAAGCTGTGATTGCTAACTCCACCCATCCGACTGAACCATCTCATTGGTATTCCCGTTCATGAAATCCACCTCAGGAGGTCTGACAGCGACATCGGTCGCTGGTTTTTAAACGGACCACTGACAGGAGGGGGCACAATATGCCAAAGATATTGCCTCAATGCAAAAAGGAAGGAAAAGTAGAGATGTTACTGGTTGATGAGATGCGCTGAACAACAAGTTGTGCTCCTGCTCCACTATCATTATGGTCTGGTATTATTAACATTTAGTCGAACCAGCTGAATAACCACAGAGAACTGACGTGTCAGTGATGCTAAAAAACTCCAACTTGCTGCTTTTATCAAGTCGCAAAAAAAGATGAGATTAAACTTCTTCTTTTTTTTGATTGAGCTCCAGTAAACAAGGTAAACAATGTAATTCACAGACGTGTACCAGGTTCTCTCAGTGGCACTGGTCTGGAATCAGCTGGTCGGCCCCGACCAGTCTCACCTCACACGGTCAGTCCTCTCCTAACCTGGACAGACGCTACGTTGTTGCCTCTATGTGTGTGTGCGCGCACACACCCTTTGAGTGTGTGTGTGTGTGTTTCCATGGCAATGAACTACATTTTCCTGGCTTCCTCAAAGGGTTTTCTTCCCGACTCCCTGGACGGATTCACAGGAAGGACACCGGGTCAACACTAAGGACACATGCTGGGAAATACACGGGCCGAATGAGAGCCAAAGAACATACGACTGGGCTCCTGTGTGTGGTCACAAGGGCAATCTCCAGGAGTCCTATGGATTTGAGATTCACATCAGTCACAGGGTGGGGGGCCATACATCACAGCTTACATTTGAAGGCAAGCAAAACTGAACAAGAGTTCAAATTGGAAAATATTAGACTTTCAAATTTAAGTGAGAAAAAATGGAAAACGGGACAGCGTGAGAGATGTGACAGAAGTTTTCTCCCGACAATATGTGAATGCAGCAGGATTAAGGTTTACGGTTTGGCTGCAGGGAAAATGTGGATTAAAACTGTTATTGCCACTGATGTTAATATGTGATTGTAGTAAATCTCCGTAGTAGTTAAATGAATGACTTGCATATCGCGTTTGTATCATTACATGATTGTCAAAAAAAAATTTCCCTAAGGAACCAAATCAACCAAACCAAACCAAATTTAAACCAACACAACTGACTACAGAAGCGTACCCCCCCCCCCCATCAGAGATGTACAGCATGCAAAAACTCATCGCAAACCAATTTCCATTTAAAGAATTTAAGTGCCGATCCCTGCCGAGCCGCTGTGACCGTCGGGCTTTGTGCACACGTACCGAATACATGCAGCACACTGACCAAATAAGCGTGCACAAACACGGGGGGAGGGGGGGGGCGCACCTGGCCGGGCGTTGAAACCCTATTTCTGCCACCCTGGGTCATTGGAATCGAAGAGGGTTGGAGCCTCGCTCTCGCAGCATTAATGAAGTATTGATCCGCCGTGTTCTCATCACCTGCGACTGATGGGGAGGAGCCAGGTCGGGAGGGGGGGGGGTCTTAAAGCCAACAAACCCACTCTGGCCTTGTGAGTGGAACCCGTCTGCAGATGAGACACTGAGGAGCGGCTGTCATAACTGCCCCCGACGAGTAAGTAACGTAGAGAGAGACATCTCAGGGGGTCCGACTGTGCTAATCAGCGTCAGACGACACCGACAGCAGAGAAGTGGCGTTAATCACGTGACGGCATCGGCTCCACACGCCGCTTTAGTTGGTGTGCTTTACAAAACAGGAAGGACGGTAACAGAATCTGAATTGCGACAGTGCTTTGGTTTCGCCGCTGCGGGCATAAGCCATGAGAGCTTATTCTTAAACTACGTTTTTTTGGAACTCTATCCCTCCCAGGGGATTTCAGACATTTTTTTTCCTTCTATCTGAATCATTCCACTGAGCTGTAATTAACAGCACAAAAGCTGTGCATCCCCTTCCGTGACAGCAGAACAAATTCAAATTGAATGCTGCCTAATCACTTAAACTCAATGAATAATTTAAATTGTGTCCTCAGAAATATCCATGAAAAAAAAAAACAATGACTGGTCTTGATTAAAGCTACAGAGGTCCCTCTCGAACGGCTTCTGTAACATAATTGATGTCTTTTCTCTACTAAATATATACTGTGGAGGTAAAATGAAAATGTTCATCAGTCCTCCATCGAGCCCAGCTGAATTTAAAATGACTTCTATTGCGCTCAGAGGTAAAAGTCAACTTCCATTTAACCAAAGTTGTACATTTGATATTAGTATATTTACACATTGTGTAAATATAAATGTAGTGTGTTCTGGGACGAACTCAAACAAATACTGAAGCTTCCCTGAAGAGCTTCCTCAAAAGGACTTCATTCAAGCTCAGAAACTCTCCCAGCTGTCTGGCTACTTAGCAGCAGAGGCTGTGCATTTCTTTCCATTTTTATTGCTTGCTTTTATTGGAATTTTTTTTCAGAATTCAATGCATACTTTATTTTAATGCTGACATTGTT